TTTGGTGCAGTCAAGGAGTTGACCAGGATAAAGCATCTAGTGAGTATCTGAATATATCTGACCAAGGTTGACTGTTCAGAGTATTCAACCCTGGCTCTATGTTCTCATAGTTCTGATTCTACATTATATGAATCTGTCATCAGCATATGACCAATAAACGGCCCCCTTGTTACCGCTCCTACATCTCCTTCCACTACCACCTGGAGACCTTTTGTCTTTCATAAGGTAATTCAATTAAAACATATACAGTAATTTTTTCACTTTGTTTTAATAGACATGTATAAATACTGGTGGTAATTAGGGATCTTTGAAGATGTCTGGTTGGACAGGAATTTCTTTTGTTAGATAATTGAATCTTATTTTGTTTTCCAATGGCTGTAGCTGTATGTCAATTTCTTATGGTTTGGTGTATATTTTTTAAATCCTAGTCATGCTGCAGTTTAGAGGGACATCTCCGGGGTCAACAAGGTCTCCAGCCATCCTTCCTTGCTGTTGGGCGTGAGAAGAGCAAGACTAACAGCTTCTACATAGTGATGGAAAATTGCCTCAACCCATGCCAGGCCAACTGCTCTCTAGGAGCATTTGATGAGCTGTTCAAAGCACTTTTTGTGTATAATGTCTCTTATCATGCTGCATTAATGAGTTTTTATACATTTTAGCAGACAAAAGTGTATAACATTTACGTTGACAATATGTATGAAGACTAAGGAGTGAGGCAACTTAACCAGCCCCTTGTGCTCTCCTGTGAGTAAGTCAAACTAAACATTTTGACATGCTTTATGTGTAAGAAAATGTAACACAAAAAATCCCAAAATCTCAAATTTCATAAGCCATTTGATATTCAGAAATCCTATGGAGATTCTGACGAGTGTTTGTTCATTGTACCACAATTTAAAGTGTTGCAAACACAAATGGAAAAATAAATAATAAATAAAGCATCTAAAATTTGTTTTTTATTTTGTTTTATTCTGATTTACCAGTCATAAAGTGGCTTATTTTTTTGTAGATAAAACTTGAATATGTTAACTCTAACAAAGGAGTTAATATTTGTCCTTGCATCAGTGTTAACTGGTATGTCCACACAGACTTCATTTTACTCTCCCTTGTAAGTTCAAAAATGAACTCTGTTGCAGTGTTAAAAACTTAACTATTTGAATTGTGTCAATTAAACTCTTAAGAGTGTGGACCTATATAAACCCTGAAAAAGTGTTAAAATCAACACAGTCAGAGTTAAATCAACACTTGACTTTTATCTATCTCATTTAAAAATAAATATTATTATATCTGGATATTTTAGAATTTTCTTAAGACTAATTACTTAAGCTTACTTTTTAGTGACCTCTAGTGGAGTCATTGAAATCCACATGTGTCACTGAAATCATTCACTTGTTATTGTTGTTATAGTTAACGGTTTTCATTTATGCTGAATATGTAGTAAAATCTAAAGTAAGCTATGGAAAAGAACATGACCTCACTGGGAAATCCCCCTAATGATTTCACTGGGGAGTGGCGGCCTAGTGGTCAGGGCATAGAGCTTGGAATCCTGAGGTTCTGAGTTTAAAAATAGCATTACTGTAATCCATGATACCTTAACTAAAAGGAAATTGAAAAAAAACAATATCAAAGAGCAACTGCAGCCAGCAGGTGCTAATTTATTACACTATAACAAAGTTATTGATGAGGACACAGAAACTACTTTAGACTCAACTTTTCCTTCAGTTTGACCATAATAAGGCCACATATATACAGATAAAATGTTTTGGAACACTGATCAGGATTAAATGATGTTAGTCAGGTGAAGCCTTCCCTGTCTGTTGGCTGTCAGTTTTATTCTTATTAGCCGGCACGTTTAATGGAAGCAACTCGTTGTGCTTAACTACTTCTCAGTGCCTCACCTCAGGGACATGAGTCACACATTTCTAACCGTGCATGCCGAATGCGTTTGTTCAAATGTTTGTGAGCTCGTCTGAAGTCACTTAATGGATGTTTGCTTCCTTGTGGTTTGCCTTGGAGCACATGATGACTAAACTTTGACATCACTGCAGTTACAGCGTCTTTGTTAGTGGAAGATTTGAGTAGGTGGCTGTTGGCGTTTAGTCTCTTGCTGTAACAGTGTCTCTGATCTAGAAAGGATAGGTTGGTTGTGTCATATTTTGATAGGACATGTTTGTGAATAGTTGTCTCAATATTTGCCTAATCTTTTATTAGAGTTCCTTGCACCACATTTAAACCAGATTAAATTTATTTCATTAGGATTTTATTAGATAGACCAACACAAAAAAAGCATCTAAGGTAATTTAGAAGTATACGAAAGACGATAAAGGTTTGCAAAATGTTTTACATATAAATATCCGAAGCTGATCTCCTATAGTCTGATAAGCCCAAATAAAATCAACTGCAAACTGTTGCCCTAAGAAATATTCCAGCTTTGTAAGCATTTAGGAAACTAATTGAACATATGGTAACAACAATTGTAACAATTAAGGAATAAATCAGATAGGCTAGTCGTAAAGTTGCAAATAAGTAAAGAAATACAAATAAATATATACCATTGAGTTACTTATGAATGCCACTGGTGATATACTCTTATTATTTAACGATCATTTATGGGACAACCATACATTTACCAGAAAGGGCTAACTAGCCACCAAAGCCAACATGGAGTGGACTCTGTTCCATTTCATGTTGCAAGAAAAGAACAAGTTTTTATTTTTTATTTTTCAGCAGTTGTATTTTAGCACTCTCTGTCTGGTGAGCCACAATTTATTTATTCAATTCTATTGTATTCTATTCTATTTGCATTTTACAGATCACAATGTCTTCACTTTTGGGGGCAAGCTTTCCTTTGAAATGAGGAGGAAATTTCTTAGTCTGCTTAGACATTGGAAACAACATATTTATAACTCATTGTGCGAGTCAAGAGCCAGGATTTGTACTGGAATGAAGAGAAAGTGATCTGTAAAATACGTTTTTGAAATAGTGCAAATCTACAAAAAAAGAAATTTTAAAAAAAAATTTCAAAAGAAAAAATAACATTTTAATTATTATGTTTGAGAAAATTACAATGTGAAATTTTTTATAAAAAAACTGATAAAACTGTTTTTTTTTTTTCCTGGATTTGTTAACTCGGGGTGAGCTCAACACTAATGCAGACAACACTTTTCAGATTGCATTAGTAATTTTGTTTTAGCAATCATTTTACATGACAGTGCATTATTTAGTTCTAATTTATTACACAAGCCAAATAGAAATCTATATATTTGTGGTTGTAAGACTTAAAAAGTCAAGGATTATCAATTATCAATACAGGTTTCTACACATGCAACCAATGGGGTTAGAGGAGTTTAAGAAAAACTGTGTTGATATTTTAGAAAAACTAAAGGTTTGCAATCCTGATAATTGAATTAGGATTTCAAATATAGATGTTAGATATTTCAAAATCTAAACATCAGTAAAATTGAGCATGACGCTTTAAACTTTGTAATAAGTTCTCCTAACTTTCCGTATAGAAAAAATAACATTATACACTATTGTAAGTGGGAACATAAGTTTATTTGGGGGAGAGAAGGGGTATGGGAGGGTGGTTGGAGAAAATCAGCTTTATAATTGACATTTGGTTGAGTTAACAGTAATGATAAAACTGCCACATAAAGGAAAAATATATAAAACATCTGTAGAGTAAACAACTATATATTTAGCATACATGGTAGACATTTAAAGCTTTATTAATCAATTGATTAATGCAATCAATGAATTGTTTGCAAGTTCAAACATGTGAAAAATTGCGTAGTAATAAATTCCCAATGTTTGAAGATTTTGGAATTTCCCATATTTCCTGACATTCAATTTTATTTATTTTATGTCAGGATTTTTAGGTTTTCCAAAATAGATTGAAGCCTTGTTCATTAAAGGCCGCTCTCTATGAGCATTTATGATTATCAGACCTAGATCTGAAGAGTTTTCCTAAGCTTTTACAGAAAAGGTTTGAGAAGGCTAAGAGTCTTAAATTGGATTAAAGATGATCTCCTGCTATTGGAGAGAGAGAGAAAAAAATCTTTGCTCTTAAAAAAATGAAATGTTCTGGAACAGATTGTCCTTTCATCTGGGGGTGTTTGTATGAGAGAAAATGAACACTTAGTCTAATCTATGTCTATTTATCTCACTGATGCTTAGAACATATTGCTGTATTGAAAGTCCAGCAGATCTAGATAAGTTGCATTGAGGAAATGGACCGGAATCTTTCTGTAATAGACATTATTATGCAGGGAATAAGGCCTAGACACAAGAGAAAATTAAGTACATGGGCTTTTATTGGAATAATTTTTGATTGCAGGGTGTGCCCTGGGTGGATTTGTTATTTAAAAAAAAAAACAAGTTCAAGTTCAAGAAAAATATGATATATCTTAATGACTGTTTCTGCAGCAAACTGTTCACACGATGGCGCTGTAATGTAAGTGATCTTGGTTGTTGAAAGTTCGTGCAGCATCTATTGAATTAACCAGCAGGTGGCGCCAAAACTCTCGCAATTTCCACAAACGATGGGAGATAAAATAAACAAAGGTTTGGCACTGCTTTGCAAAAAGAAAATAAATATTTCAAAGGTCTGTAATTAAATGCGTCTTAAAGAGAAGCAGGGATCTATATACACTTTTTTTATTATAACCCCCCCACCCCTCTCCTTTTATGTGTTTTGTTGATGAGCTCACACATCTCATATACACTTTTTTCACTGTGGAAATGTCACGATGGTCTGTTGACGTTATACACCAATGACATTTTCACTGTTATGAGTGTCTGTGTTTTTTTTTTTTTCTTTCTTTCTATAGATCCTTTCTTTTTTGTATTTCCACCTGTTGTTCCAGAGTGCATTAAGCAACGGTCAACATTTATTACATCAACAATAGAAAGTTTCACCCTCGCCTCTGGCAGTTACCCGATCTGCAGCTGCGGGCTTCATCGTCCTCCCTCCTCAACGGGCGCGCGCATGACGTGCACTGTTTCCCAGCCAGGGTTCGCGTAGTGCTGAGTTGGTGGATCTCTGACTGCCTGGTGGCTCTCACAGAGCTTTGGCAGCCTAAATGAGGGCGCCTAACGCATTTGGACGACTTACGCCCTCTCTTCAGTAACTTTGATGGGGACCTCGACATTAATCAGGGAAAATGCCTGTGATGAAGGGATTATTAGCGCCTCAGAATACGTTTCTGGACACTATAGCTACATGGTTTGATGGCACTCGTAAGTTCAGCTAAACTGTGTATCTTTTAATTAATTAATTGAAATATTTTTGTTGGTCGTTTGGGTGGGGTGTGTAGTTTGAGAAAAGCTTTGCAAAGCAGAGAATAGCACGATCCTTTGTGACACAGACAGGTTGATGATAGCAAGAACAATCTGTGGTTTGCAAAAAATAAAATTCCCTATGTTGTCTTTAATTTAGTTTTGTATAATTGAGTCATCTAAATACTTGAGTCCAAATCTTTGCCTAAGCGTACTTCAGCTGCAATCAACATTTGCACAATATATATATATTTTATGTATTTTCCATTTTGCTTTTTTGTTGTTGTTGATTTTTTTGTTATTTACACCAAGTCACGATAAGCCTGCTGCTTAGCTTTCAGAACCTCGGACAGCGACAAAACAATTCTCAATGAAATTCAATGAAAGTTTAGCATAAAAAACGTAGTGTTTTTCAGTGTGATGTGATAACTCTTTTCTTATTTTGTATCAGAGTTCATATTTATTTATATTTTTCATATTTTTTCTTATTATTATTTTTATCTTAATTAAGTGAGATGTTGGGTATTGATTCCTTCCATGGCTGCTCTTTAAAAATAATCCACCATTCAAAGTTTTCTACAGGACAATTCAAAAACCCCATAAAAAACAAACAAAAAATTCCCTTAAATTTTCTTTTCTCTCAGCTCTAATGTAATTTGACTAAGAATTCTTATGTTATGTGTGTGTTTTAATTCTTAAAAAAACTTCTAAAACTTTCTCTAATTTCATGATTTTTTTAAGGATGCTTTTAAGTAAGGATTTTTAGCTTGGCAATTTTTTTTGTTTTTTATTCAAATAAAGATTCAGGAGTAAATTTTAACTGTTTAGTATGAAAAGTATAAACAATTTTACTGGGAGATTCCTTGGTTCTAACTTCCAGAAATAAGCTTCCATATCTATAAAGAGTCAGAAGTCAGCATGATGCTGCCACATCCTTGTTTCATCATGGGGGTGGTATGTTCGGTGTGGTGAGCAGCTTCAGGATTTTCTTCTTGCCATTTTTCTTTGAGATCCAGCCTTGTGCAGACTAGAGCTGGTGACATATTCTCTCGTCTGGGCTAGGTTCTGGGCTAGGTTCTTTAATTCCTCCGGACTTTCATAGCTGTTTCTCCTACCTCAGTATTTTCATTTTCAGGTCATATATTGAACAGTACCTGGTGAGACATTTATATTCCCTATGTGTTGGTATCTTCTTTTTAATAAAACTGCTACATCTATGGTGATAACAGCACACTTCCCTTACATGAACTTTTATCCAGCGTCCTGAAATATGTTTCTAACACCTAGAGAAGGATGATGATAACGAGAGATGTCTGTTGAGACTTTAACCCCTATACCTATTGATCCAGCATCACTATACAAGTAAGAGCAGGCTGGTGTACAGTATGTCTAGTGGCAATCAAAAAAAAAAAAAGTCCATGCTGCCTGCATGGGCACAAGCTCTGCTCCTACACAAGAGAATTAGAGTGGTTCTGTGCAGCACAAGTAGTTTGTCAAGCTCCAATGAGTAAGCTGCTGTCCTTGAGTTGGCGAGGTAGAGGAAATTAACGCTGGATCTGAAGTGCTGGATAGAGCGGACCTGGAGGCAGTAGAGCCTGACAGCACAAATTAGGTCTGATGGCCTGGTCAAGAGCAAATATTAGTGGAGAACTAAGTTTTATCGCTGTGGGATCCCCTTCGAGGTCATCCATTTCCCAGATAAGGGTTGTAGTGAGTGATAAATGGGTGAATGTTCCAGTAGGCAACTCTTTAACGTGATCTCCTTTGTATCCAGAGAAAAGGTTGATAGGTTTGCCGTTGGGACTTTAATGGAGAGTATTTGTTTAGATGTTTACAGCAGGTTTTATTGTGTACCTCAACTTTTCTGTATAACATGAGGTTCCAACGTTTTGACTCAAGTTTTGAGACATTACAGTATTTACGTATCAAGTCTATTTACGGTGTTCAGAACAAAGGGGCTTTTAAAAAAATATTTCAGTCAGGAAATAATTTTCCTATATTGGGAAGGCAGAGTTGTTTATATATATTATTCTATCTTTACAAACATGTGAAAACTATGAGTAGCTGTGTTATGTGGTGATAGTGAGAGGATGACACCTCCTGCCAACCTTACAACTGCATCCAGGTGACTAATGTCACCACCCGTCCATCGCCACTACTATAAGGTATGGGAGTGCTGCTTGTTATAAATGTTTTCATGTTGTCACCTGGTAATAACCAGAGTCTTTTGAAGGGTTTCTCTTGTTTTGAACCACAAACAACACTGGCTTTTATTTTTTTCCCCATGTTTATAAAATTGCTGGCATCTTTTAAATGTTCAGTTGTTTATAGAATTTTAAATATTTCAGATTGCAATTTAATATGAAAAAAGGTTTAATGACCTTATTGGTACTGTAATTTATAAAACAGCATATGATATGTGTAGAACTGGGTTGAGTTCTTTGTTATCAATCTGGGATGGCTGCCGTTCAGTTTGTCCGTGAAAAGGAGGGATGTTTAGTACAATACTTTGAGCTGATTGGCTGATGTGCCAGCTATTACTCACCAATAATACACTTCAATCAATAATACACTTTCAGCCAATCGGGGTAGTGTGATTCGTCTGCAGCCTTTTGCGTGTTTTCATCTTTCATCTTGCGGAATAAGCTAATAAATCAAACTTTTTCCAAATCCTTTGTGAAGAAAATCACAGATATCTTTCCCAAATACAAATGCACAAAGTGCTTCTCTTTGCTTCTTTTTTAAATGAGAAATTGTTTCTATTTTAGTTAAAACCGAGTCAATTGCAGTTTTGACAGGTGAGTCCTCCAGCGTAGGCATTTTTGTTATCCCCTATCTTCTGATTGTTTTCATCCCTACATGGCCTGAATCAAAAAACACTGCTGGCAAGTCACTGGTTTGACCCGCTGATTGTTACGAGACAGACATGTTAGCAGGAGTCTTTCAAGATGGATTTGTTGTGAGACTGAAAACTCAGATTTTGCGACAATCCAAAAACCATTTTATCATGTTAGAACAAGACTATACATGGCAAACTTCTGTCATGATAGTTTTTTGATAGTCCTCTTTGAGCCTCAGTATAATTTCAGTACTGGGTGCGATGAACAGACATAAACAGAAGTGGTGCCATCTGCCTGCAGAACAGTGAAGGTACCTGAAAGCCAGATAGTAGGAAAACACTGCCACACAAATGGAGCCTGACCCAGTCCAGCCATCTTTTTATGCCTTGCAGTCAGTGTTGTTTTAGTTAACGATGACATAACAAAATAATTTCGTTGCCACTCCTTTTTTTCATGACAATAACTAAAACTGACAAGCTAAATGTGTATGTTTGATGATTAAAAAAATGGCGAGCCATAGGTTTGAGTTTTTATCAACGAGACGAAACTAAATAAAAAATAGCGGGTTGTCAGTCAGACGTTTAAACTGCATCATCATGATGTATTCACACAGCCTTGTTGCTGCATCCTTTTTGATCCTGCAGCCCACCTGCCTGAAATCCCTAAGTTGAATCCAACTAAAATATTTAATTGAACTCCGTTTATTTATGATAAAGAGCCAGATGAGAGGTACATTGGTCTTTGAATATTTCTTTCTGTTCTCATTTCTATGTATTCAAATATAATGTAAATGTTTCCTTGTATTGTCATTAAAGCATTTTCTCTGTTTCCTTTAAATATTTAAACATTTTAGTTAACATATTCATTCAGTTTAGGTCTGGATTGGCATGGCATTAAAAGGCAATTAAGTGGGTTCTCTCTGTAATTTTTTAAATATCAAAACCCTGTGAATTTAAATCTACTTTGATCCCTGAGCAGCAGTAACCGAGGGGTAAAAATTGCCAAAGAAGAATGCTTTTGTTATTTGGCTTGTTGGAGCAATGAACATTTTATTGATCTGTGTGTAATGCATAATTCCTACTAGATCAGGAAGTGTTTGCTTTGCGATTGAAACCTTGTGTGTCTAAAACCATTCCTTTATTGTATATTTTGTTAGCTTAACTGTCTGCTATATTAACCAATATGATGTGTTGAACTAGATCTGCTAGTTTCACAGCTTTTGTCAGACACTTTTTTATAGAGTAGACGTTTATTTGAATTCTATATCCAGCAATTGTAGTATCTCGGCTAGAGCTGTCAGTCTGGTAAAGAATGTTGTTTTTGTATTTGAAATCGTAAAGGTTAACTTTTTTTGCTAAATAAAACTGACTAAAACTAGACTAAAACCGACTAAATACATAATATATAGTAATGACTAAAATGTGACTCAAACTCATAAGTTTTCCTCCTTAAGACTAAGACTATATCTAAGAAGATTGTCAAAAACAACACTGCTTGCTGTAAAGTGACAGCTTAATGTGTTCCAAGATCAACTTATAATAAGTAATTAAACTGATATACAGCAACTTTAAGCCCTCACAATTCATCAAGGTAAGAAATAAATTAATTAATTAAATGGAAAAAAGGCATAAGCTATATAAAACCTCTTTATTAGAAAAGATGCTAATTCAAACTCGAAGCGACAACCCTCCGATTGGAGGGCAAACACCTGTACCCAATGCCAATTAAAAATGTTGGTGAGTTACTTGAGTTTTTTTTACAAAGCTCAGTGCTTAGACACAGGTTAATTGAATATTATAGGATACAGTCTATATGTTTACAAATCTAAAAATGAATTAATTAATGATTAGATATAAATTACATACCAGAAAAAGTACCAGTCCAAAATAGGGTCTGCGCAGTCACGAAAAAAAGTGTTTGACCGACATAGTAATGACTTGAAGAATATAATGGACACAAATTCAGTTCAGTCAAAAGAATATTTAATCAGTTCAAAGGAAAATCAAGCATAGTCAAATAGGGGTTTCTTCCACAAGCTTTGATAAATACTGATGACTGTAGGCAGGAAGGATCTCCCAGACTATTACAGCTGATCTGGAGTAGCTATAAGACAGACTGCTG